AATTCAATCCTTTGTATGCACTGTGTAATTTATAGATGAATAATTGGCATATATTACTTGATGGCTCTTATTCATATAGTGTTTATGCAGGCATAGACTATGACTCAGCTTTAAAGGTCTACTCTACTGGACAGGCATGGACTCTGGGGCATACATATGATAATTTAGATGCTGTCAAGCAGAATTTAATTTTCTACTGGATTGGGAGCGGCAAGGAGCAAGAGTATAAGTGAAAGAGTATGAAACACAGACTTTCAGAGTCAAATCTCTGGAGTCTACTTTAACCCATTCGGGGTAGGGAGATTTTGGAGGTGGTGTCTACTATCATTTCACCTTGAGTGACCTTGAGCAAGTCACTTTAAATTCTCTGAGCTTTTTGTTTTCTTATTAGTAAAATGGGAATATTCAATTATTATTTTTTCCTTAAGTGGACATGAGAATAAAATCAGAGAAGAAACAAACAAACAAACAAACAAACAAACAAACAACACAAGAAAAGACTTTGAAAAAGATATAAGCATCTAGTGTAGTGCTTACCTATTCTAAGGTTAAGGGCTCGGTGAACTTCTCTTGCTCTTGCCGCTATGTTTCCACCCCTTACTCACTTGATCTGTGTAGACTCTCCTTCCTCCCTTTTGAGAAAAATCTCTGCGGAATTCCCGAGTTTGGGCTGCCTCTATCATCACAGCTGTGTATCCTCTTAGCTGTGCTGGAATTCCTCCCCAACCACCGGGGCATAGTGCTTGACCTCTTAGCAAATCCTTAGTTTGAGAAAGTAGGCAGGGATAACTTTAGTGCTGCACAAAGACTTGGGCAGCTCTCCCTCTAGTGGAAATTTATGGAATTGCCCCTAATTACTACCCTCTTGAAAGAGCAAGGGCTGATGATAAAAAGGAATAGAATAAATTGATATCTCTTTTTTTTTAAAATCAGGTTTAAAATGTATGTATTAAACGTACACAATGAGTTACCATGAGGCCAGGAACTATAGATTAAACCAAAGCTAGTAATCCAAGGGTCTGTTGTTTCCATAGTTTCTCATGGACCAATGAACCATTTTATTTAATGGGAATTTTGAGGCAAATTCCAAATTTGAGGTAAAAATACAGAATTGCCAATTATATATGCAGCTGTATATCCATTTTTGCACCACAGCTATAAAAGAATTCTAATGCACGTGGCTGTTGGAGTCTAATTTAACTACACTCTGTGTTCTTTTCCCCTTCATAAGTGTATTGATAGTTATTGATGTTGGCATCACATCCTCTTATAAGGATTCATACATTTCCCACCGGGCTTTGTTTTTAAGGAAGGTGGGTATGGCAGTGAGAAATTTAGTTACAAAGAGGCTAGACGGTTTTGCTGGTGTCACCCAGGGTATTTTGCTGGTGATTTTACTTGTTTTCACTCGTAGGAGCCTCCTTGTGACAAAATACACTGCATGGATGTCACGGTGTCCATGTATACAGTCTGCATGCCCCTGTTTTGAATCTTCATGTCAAGATCCTCAATTACATGCCCGTTTGCCCGTTTTTACAGATTGGAATAAAAATGATTAAAATACAGCTCTGAAAAAATTTTTAGTGGCTTTCTTTGTTCCATTGTAATTGTTTTTGGAAAGCTTAACGATTAAAGTGTTTTCTGCCAAGAAGACTAAATCAAGAGTAATAATTTGTGAGTCTTTTAGAGATCTGAATCAAGTTGGTAGAGATGAGACACCAAGGAGACACCCTTTTATATTTTCAGGTATTTTTCTGTAATACAGTTCACCAACTGCAGAATTTCAACCTTTGGGGGAAACCAGTGTTTCCCTGCCTGTGGTGTGCCTGTTCACACTTGTAATGAATCAGAGAGACCCCATTATGGGATCACTTGTGAGAGAATCCTGTCTATATGGAAAACACTTTTCGCTGAAACCCTGTGGGGGGCTCTGCTTACAGAGCCGCCACTGGAATTGTGAATAGAATAGGTCTGGATGGTTCTGTGCATCAGATGCTGGGTTGATGAGGTCAGGCTCACAGACCAGACTCCTCTGTGAACAACTCAGTTCCCCCAAGCCCCCTCATGCCTATGGCTTCCACCTTTGCCTGCTGCTCCACAGAGGCACCTCTTCAGCTGTATTCCAAACATGGATGTCTGATCAGCATGCAAATACTTCTGGAAGTTTAATGTCTTATTGCCATCTCTTTATGGCAACAATGTAACATACACCTGGTGACATTTGAAAATTCAGTCATGTGTGACCCATTGTTCCATTTTTGTGATCCTCCCACATCATACTGTGTTTACTACTTCACCAAGATGTTGGTCCCTTAATACTAGCATTCCACCTGACTGTATAGACCTTGGACTTCACTCTATAGTTTTTAGTTGCTTTCACTAGTACCAAATCTAAAATAAATGTACTTTATTCTATGCCACCCATTCTTTTCCTGCAGGTAAACAGCTAAAAGTGGAAATTCAATAAAAACAAATCAAACCACCTTTTTAGAATCCAGTAGTGGTATAGTGATCTTTAGATATAAAGTTACAACACCTTAATTCGATTTCTCCTAGTGTGTTTTGTGGTGAAAAAAATTGGTATCAGGTGGGCCTTCATAATTCCTGGCATCATATTCCTTGTCTATCTTATGGGGAAACTCCTTCAGGCTTCCCGAAATAGGTCATGGTGCACTCATGTATTACGAATATTGAAAGTAGAAAAAACTAAAAGGATAATACTTAGAAATTGTATGTTCCCCCAGTTGCTGAATTTTTGTTCTCTGACTGTTGACCGTTATTTATAAATACTAACTGTCTGCTGCCTAAAACAAGGGAAGAAGAAGCATAGGATCATAAGTCTATTAAATCAAATGCATGTGGTTCAGATAGCACTCAAGAAGAAATGAATTCTCAGTATGCTTTCAAGGCCTATGTGAGAAAGCTAATTCGAATGGCAGTTAAATGTCTCAAACTGAGGTTGGGCATGGATGTTGTGATTCAAGAGCATACATTTTTATTATCTTCAATATCAACCATACCCCATAGTTTATAAGCAAAACGAGCCTACTAGGATTGGAAATGTAGCTTTAACTTGCAATGATCTAGTTACGTAACAGACAGATTAAAGAAAGCATCTGGGGGAGTTAAGGAAGGAAATGAAAAAGCAAACTTTTTTTCCTATCAGGACGGTACTTAGTTTGAGATAATTTTGCTAAGTCAAATGCATTCATCCAAAACCAATTACTCTTCTGCTACTTCACCTACTGCTCAAGGAGTTCATCACAAAAGCCCATATGAAGCAGAGTAGTGAAAAATGCCATTGGAGAAAGATTAGAAATCAGGCTTAGGTTGTAACTCAGTAGCAGAACACTGGCTTAACTTGCACAAGGCTCTGGGTTTGCCCTGCTAAACCACACAGCAATTATGAAAAAGAAACCATGGAGGTCTTAGGCTATACACTCCTCTGACAATCTAATGAAGTGTAGTATAAAATCTCCCCAGAAAAGTATGCCTATGTGAATAGGCACATTATTTTGCCAACAATCTAAAGCCTATTAGAGCACCTTTCCCTTGAGTGCCCTTGAACCCTAGTTCAATAACCCTTCATATAGAGAAAGTGAAACTTTGAAGTATGATAGTTATTATATTTGAGCATTACATTTAGCTCTCAGCTTCCTGTCAACTGAGGTTAAAGGATTAAACACACCGGGTTACAGAGTTCTCAACATCTGAAAAAGGAAACAGACCAGCTTACAGAATTATAAGCAAAACATCATTTTAGAATAAAAATATTTACACATTTTTATTATATGATTTATAAAAGATAATCAAGTAATATAAAAGGACACAGAATCATTTGATGGAATTCTGGAGAAACAATAGGCATTCAGAAGTATAATATCTATGCTATTTGTATTGAATAACATACTAAATTATCTTTCACATCTATCGCTAATGCTTCTGGAAAAGTAGATTTTACTGTATCTCTATTTCTTTAATATTAGTTTTATCCACTCAAAATTATCTGATTAAAACTGACATTAATATAATAAATCCCCATGAGCAATTAACACCTAAGCAACAATAGAGGCCTAAGGGTATAAAGAGAAAACAACCTATGTTTAAATATCTGATTTTAATAAGTCATACCATGGAAATGACATATATACACATATATGCATATATATCATTTTATGTATATGTCATATATATGTCATATATATATTTATATTTCATATAATAGAAGGTAATCACTTTAGGTTACCAATGCTTCCAACCTCAGCATTGTTTTCTCAACAGCAAGTAAATAACATAGTGACTATTGTCACAATTATAGATATAGATAGTATAGGGTAGGGGTTAAGAACATATAGTCTCCGGTCAGAGACTGGTTTCCTATCACTTATTAGCTCTGTGTCCTTGGGTAAGTCTTCTTGATCTCAGTGTTTTCACGGGTAAAGTATCATACAAATGCTAATTCCAGGATTGGGCCTGGTCAGGTCAGGGATCTCTTAGACATACTTATTTTATAAGATTTCTGCCAAAATAAAAATCAGTCAGAATTATCTGAAATCTGAAACTGCCAAGTCAGCATCATGCTAGCAGTCTAGGTTCATATGATCTCATAGAGGGAAATTTTGCTGGTTAATAGGAGCGATTCACTTAGCAGGCCAGACGACTGGAGGGAGAATCTGAAGGCCATGACTGGAAATCCCTGAGGCTACCATATAAGCTAGAGAGCCTTGGGAAGGAGCTTACCCAGCAGGTCTCTACCTAAAAGTTGCTGGGGAGGATGGGGAAATACCTAAGAACACAGACTTAGTGCAACATCTCTGCTTGCTAACGTCTGAGTAATATGCTAGGGATTCGAATATAGCCACTGGGATGATTGGCTAAAGTCGTCTCAATAAAGCTCTGACTCACGAATGTACCCTGTACATGATGGCAGCGATTATTTCTCTCCCTGTTATTATGAATGGTGTTCCCTGCATCTCATGTCTTGTCTTGTTTTCTTCCAGTGGATGGCTGCATTGACTGGTCAGTGGATCTCAAGACTTACATGGCTTTGGCAGGCGAACCTGTCCGAGTGAAATGTGCCCTTTTCTACAGTTACATTCGCACCAACTATAGCACGGCCCAGAGTACTGGGCTCAGGCTCATGTGGTACAAAAACAAAGGCGATCTGGAAGAGCCCATCATCTTTTCGGAGGTCAGAATGAGCAAAGAGGAAGATTCCATATGGTTTCACTCAGCTGAGGCACAAGACAGCGGATTCTACACTTGCGTTTTAAGGTAAGTGTCATTTGAAAATATTGGGCAACCACGCGCCTTGCGGTTTTTGTTTGTTTTTTTTTTTTGGAATGTTATATTGGAGTGTTTGCTGGTATAACTCATGTTACCTAGCATCAGCTGAAGAACTCCAGTAAACTTGGTTCCAATGATCTATTGGAACTACATACCAACTTCTTACCAGATTCTCACAACTCAGGACTCCTGTTTTCTTGCTGCGTGTGTTTCCTTAATTTAGAACATTGTGTGACTCATTTCTTTCCTGCCTTCACCCATCTCTGATCCTGGACCTTATAATAAGAATTATTTCACCACAGAACCAACTGACTCAATGATCTTGGTGCCTGACTCTGAACCTGACCTCATATACCATTTAGGCCGAGGTCTTGCTGCCTCTTTTGTTGATGGAAATTAGCTTCAAATGCTGCCTAGAGACCTCACGGCAAATGAGCAGCTGGTATAATCCATACAATTTGCAAAATGAACTTCACTCTACTCTGTCTAAATGTTCAGCAGGAAGTGCAGTAAACACTTGGTCATTGTGACGTTCTGAGTGCTGTATGCTGAAGATTTAACAGATCTAATTCTTGTCAGAAATTTACAATGAGAAGCACATTGTCTTGTCTTAGGAACTCCACACTATGATCTTCCTGCAGCCCAGCATTAAGACCTAGGGTCTAACATAGCAGATAGAGACTGCATTAGGTATTAAAGTAGAGAGCTGAGGTGACCTTTAACTCACCTTTCAGTTCTGCCATTTTGAGAATCACTGGTCTTATTCACCGGGGACCTGCACTCTACTATTTGATTTTCACTTCTTGGAAATACAAACCCTTCCTATTTTTGTCTCCTGTGTAAAGCTATGTCACTTCTTCATCAAAAGCTCTCAGAGCTCCCTGGTGAGTCCTCATTGTTCTAAAGGCCAAGAGAACAAGGTAGTGTCTAAATAGAGAAAGCTCCCGAAGCCTTCGAGTCGCTTCTGTGCACACGTGCAGGGCAGTACTGAGAGGAACAAATGAAGAGGTTAGTTTCTTTTGAAGGCAAGAAGAATCCCCATGGTCATGGTAGCAGCAGCAATACTGATAGGCAATAGATTCTATTTGTTCAGCTCTTGGCAAAACTGAGAAATAGGTATCAGACACTTTTAAAGACTGACATTGTAATTTCCAGAATGTCACTACTCTTTGCCTAATGGCCCCTTATTAAACCTTACCACCACAAAAGCCTGCCAATCAAAAGTACTTTTCTCCCAATCTATTATTTGCTTTTGTATTCTGTTTGTTTGTATAAATTTAGAGTTTCTTTGCAAATCTCTTTTTCACTATCCAAAGGTTCTAGACCGAATTAATGGACTAGTTATTGCTTACTGCCTCTGCCATAATTTTGTTCTCGGTCATCCTTCCCTCCTTCCCCTCTAGACACACACTCTTAGCAAAGTTAACAGTTTATTATATGCATCACATATATTTCACAGGTCTTAATTACATGAGTGTATTTAACAGAGTTAGTCCTGTTATTGTTTTTTTTAGAAAAATGAAAGTCTAGACATTCAAATTTTAAAATAAATAGTGGAAAATTCACTGTTTCCTTGTAAGTATATAATGTTCAGTGCTACATACTATTCTATGAGGCCACAGCTTAATCATTTTTTTTTTACTGAAGAGAACATACTTTGTAGACATTTGTCATAATGGAGGGAGCACTATAATTCAAATCTATTTGTTTTAAAATAAATTCAGATAAACTTTATATTAATAAAATGATTACAAATGTAGCATGGTATTTATATAACCTACACTACCATTACTGTGATATATTTATTACAATCATTGAACTAGTGAAACTATGTAACAATGACACATTACTATAAACTAAAGATCATATTATTTCCTCATTTTTTTCTTCCCAGATCCCTTTTTTTCTGTTTCAGGATATCATCCAGATATTGCATTCTATTTAGTTTTTATGTTTCTCTCTTTTTTGTCTTGGCCTTTTGAGATATCATCTCACTATGTAGCTCTGGCTGTCTTGGAACTTACTACTTAAACCAGGAAAGCTTTGAACTCACAACAATCAGCCTGCCTCTACCTCCTGAGTGCTGGGCTTAAAGGCACATACCACTATGCCTGGATTGGTGGGCATGTCTTTTAAATATTTTTTGGCTGTGGCAGTCCCTCAGAGTTATATTGGTTTTTTTTTTGATAAGTTTGAAAAGTTAAGATAAACTGTTTAGAATGCCCCTATTGAGATTTAGCTAATATTTTCTCATAGTTAACTGGGCTAATAATTTTTGGAAAAGATGACTGCAGACATAAAATGCCATCCTCATAACCATATCAAGGTCACAAATGGTCAATATGGCATGATTATTGGTGCTGGCTAGTGTACATGTTAGGCTGACCTTGAACCTATAGCATTTCTGCCTCTGACTTTCAAATGCTGGGATTATAGTCATATGCCATCATATGAAGCTTCTTAGTGTAATCTTTGGAAGAAAGTCATTATTCACAGGCCATTCTTCAAAATGAGAAATGATATTCAATCTTCTTCAAGATAGAATATTTGCATGAATTGCAGTTTATCTTAGCAGATTTATCTCTCCTCTCCAATTTATCTCTTCAGTCAAATGGGTTTTCACCAGTATGGACCCATGGATATTTTATATTATGCAACACAATTACATTTTTCCCTTTGTTGAAATCTTTTACATTTGTAAATGGGAGCTCTTTCAGTTGGCTCATGTGTTCTTTTGATATAAGAACTTCGTTGCTGGGTAGTTTTTTCATTTTTTTTTTACATTATTGAAAGATGCTCCAGACTTATCTTGTATACATACTGCCTTACACTGAGAATTGCCCATTTTCTTAAGAGTCCAAATTCTTTGTAATAGAGACTGGACTAGACTAGAAGAATGAAGCCAGTTTTTGAAGGCTGAGTATAATCACTATTAGATTGTTGCTACTTCTATCTTTACACCTCAAAATGTATTCGCTTTTCGAAAAAGCAACGTACTTTTGTTTGGGTTTTGCCATATTTGATATTAAAGTCAGGGCCTTCTATTTTCCAGGCAAGTGCTTTACCACAGAGCTATAGCCTTTGCTTAAGCATTGCTAGTTCATACACAATTCTCTAAATGCTGAAGAAACTCTAGAAGTCCTAGAGCTTCTTGGTGTCCCTATGCATTCCCCACAGTGGTCCCCTCTTTCGATTTCATAGCAGGTTGGCTTTAATTATAACTCTTGTAGATACCATCTGAGTCTGTGATTCTCTTCTTGCAGGTAGATCAATAGCAGCAACTTGGATTTAGACCTAACTGGTGACTTCTTTCAATATGTGTCCCAGGCCTTAGGGAACAAAGGTACAGGTAGAACTTTGAAAAAGAAATAGTCCTCATATGTCCCTTGATAAGGCTCATCAAAGTTTGGGAGCCATCGTTCTACAGTAAGTAACTACAGTCTTATCAACTCAGAGAAGTAAGAGTTTATATTCTAAAACAATTGTAATCATATGCACACGAAAATACCATAGTAAAATCCATCACTTTATATGTTAATGCAAAATGTAATGAAAAGAAATTAGTTAATATTATTGTATATGACATTGGCATAGCTAGCAGCGGGTGGCAAATAATAAACCTGTTTTTTAGCTAGTAGTAACCACTCACTTCAAATAGGTTCCAAATGAGGAAATTAGTCCATATACATAAATATAGTAAAATTTCTGGTTACAAAAATGTTCAGTATTCATCCAAAATTCCAAATTTGGCATCATCTTAAGATAATCAGTAATGATTTGTCTGTGCTTTATTGACCTCACTGGAAATCACTCTGTAGACTTTGCTGTTTTTAAAAATCAAGCAATGAATTATTTAGTAAAGTCCTATACTCATAGCAAGTTGTTTACTCTTTGTGACCTTTCAGTAACTAGTTGCTCATTTTTTAACATTTTTTATTGTTCAATCTCAGAATATAGATAAGCTAGTAACGGAGGAATAGTGGAGGACTTAAGCATATTTTGGCACTCAGTGCTAATCCAAAATTAATTCTGGGTATTTCCATTCTAGGCCTTTCAATTAAGACTTTTAATACTGCAAAAAAGATGAAATCTATTTTATTTGAACAAATCTACCCTATCACTCTCACAAATTGTGCAGAAGAGGTGACTTAATCGGTAGATAAAGAAGTAGTCCAATAATTTCAGAGTGAATTCATGCATATTGAAAAGAATGAGTGAATATAAGTATAAATGAGTATCTATAGAAATCTTCAAATTTTAGGGTAGCCAAAATCAAATGTAGATAATCAGTTGGATGTAGAAACACATCATAATTGTTACTGTGCAATAAATACACAGAATAATGAAGGAACCCATTTGTTAAATGGGACTATAATGTGAATATTTTGTTCTTTAAAATCAATGAAATAAATTAGAGTCTCAAGACCTTAATGAATCACAATTGCTTTGCAGATAATCCCTTAGTGAATTTATTTCTCCAGGAAGTAGTATGCCATTTGTTTTGATTCACCAAATGTGATTTAATCAAGTCATATTCAAGTAGTTATTATGATAACAAGTCACACCATCAGAAAAGATGAAGAGAGTGTAAGTATTTGAAATAAAAAATATGTCAAGTTGTTAGCTCTTGAATATCTGTAATCAGCACAGCACAATTCAGTACATTGTCTTTTTGATTTCTGAGTATGTTTGCAATAGTTCACAATTTAAAAAAAATAAGTATCAGCATACAGTAAATTTGACTGATTTTGCTCTTAATTATATTGATCTGTAAAGTGCTATATAATTTATGACTATATTTTTATATTCCAGTCAAGAATATTCAGCGAATATATGTCATAGTATTCACATCAATATAGATAGGAAAGATATGATTCATAAAAAGCGATTGCCTTAGTCTATCTCAGACACTAAGAAATAGTTTTTATCACCTTCTACCCTCATTCCTTCCTCTCTGACATGGTTACCAAGAGATTTTCAAGGACATC